ATATATATATATATATATATATATATATATATATATATATATAATTTATTTATTTATTTATTTATTTTGCAGGATTTTAGGATTGAAGGAGACCACATTTTATCTAACGACAATTCATTAAGACAATGCAGATTTGAACCAGGGGCTTCTTGATTCATACAGGCCAATCATTTACTAGATTTTTTTAAAAGAATCTCATCTCATGCTAGCTGATCAGCCATGGCAAGCACATCCTAAGACCACAAAAGAAAGAAAAATGTACATAAAATCTAGAGGAAAAATGGGGAGAGTGAATATCTATTTTCCGCCTTTCTTCTTTCTAAAATTGTCAGGAGTTAGGGGTGTGTATGTGCTTTCACATCTCTTTTGATCTTGCTGTCATTTAGATACCATCACAGTGTCCTACAGTGAGAACACTAGGAGCATTATGAGAAAAAAATCAGCTAGACCCAAAAGTTGAATAGTAATAGCTCAGGTTGTGTAAGTCTACCTTACTATGCTCTAGGTTTCTCTCAGACTTCAAATTGGGTCTGTACAAGAAATTATGTATACATATAGATTTTATTTTAAGAACAGCAATACTCTCAAATATTTTAAGTCAAAGCAGAACAGAAAAGTATAGTTTCTGATATTTAAAATATTATTTTCCAGAGCTAATTTATTGCTTACACATGTAGATAACAACCTTTTTTAAAAATTAGTTTTACACTCTAAACACAAATGCTCAATAAGCATTTATTAAAACAAATTTAATGAACATGTTGTTACAAAGATTGCCTTTAAAAGTACCTTTTCTATACTATTGATCCCTTTAATATTTCTGTTTGATGAAATGCAACATTTTCACAGAATGGGGGATTAAAAAGGGGATACAGCTGCAATTAAATTTTCACCAGATTACATTATTGCCAATTAAGGAAATCAGAGCTATAATTTATACTGAAATAATGGAAATGAGTCTTTCGGGGATTGAACTCATTCCCTGAGGGTGAACTTTGTTTTATGAAACAAAGGTTCCATTCTGGACTGTGTTTTCAGAGACATTTTTGCTCCTGACTTTGCCCACAAATACTATTAATAGCTAATTAATACAGTTAACTATCTGTTAACAGCAACACAAATTCCTATAAAAATAGGAAGTCACATGATTCTTGTGATTTCAACAATTCATCCTTTTTTGGACCTGCAATAATTTCAGCATCTGTCTGAAGGACCAAGAGCACCAATTCTAGAGCTCTGCGCCAAGCTTCTATCTTAGCAGCAATATTATCATACACTTTCAAAGCCTTTCCATCTATATCAGAATGTCCAATGCTTATTCCTATCTTTCCCTTACTAAATTCCTCCAGGATGTAGGCTGATGGTGAACCATGCATGGCTGCTCTTCTGAGATGCTGCTGTATGACAGTGTGGGTTTCAAACTCTGAGGTACAGTTTGCTGCATTACCCATGACAGCAAACAGGTACTGGCGCCAACCACTTGCCAAAACACTAAGCACCAAAGATTTATATTGTTCTGAAGATTTTGCAAACCAGGAAGAGGCAACATGAAACTGGCCTGTAGAGTTTGGGATTGCTTCTTCTAGTTTTTCAAGAAAACTGAGGCATAGGAGCTCAACTGCACCGCCTCCTGGAAAAACAGCCTGATCAAGAAGTGCATGGTGCAGACGGTACACACAGGTCCAAAACTGATCTTCCATGGCTTGCATCTTTGACATTAAAGGGCAACAAAGCACAACTGTTACCAATCGAAGTCCTTCTGCTGTTAAAGCAAGTGGGATTTGGCCACTGACCTCCATCAAATTTAATTCCAGAGTTCCATAGAGATTCACGCATATGCCTTTGACAATACAATCCTCATTCACTTGATTGATGTAAGTCACTATCTCAGCTCTCATAATATTACTAAAAGCTCTCAATATGTTATGGTCCACATGATTAATTATCACTATTTTATGTAGGAGACATTTTTCTTCTAGAATTTCACATGTGTCACCTTGTACCAAAATTAAATTAATATTAGACTGAATCAGAATGTCCATTATAGAATCAACCCATAAGCTTGAGCTTTCCTTTGAATGAGACACATTTTCTGAAAACATGCTCATATTCTCTAATCTGTTAAACCCTAAATGGTGATAAGTTTCAGTTAGGTCACCATCTATAAGAATAACACGAATAGGCATAGTCTGAAAATGTTTCACAGCAGCAGCTTTTGTTGGACATACAAGTGTGATATAGCCAGGGTGAACACACGAATGACTTTCAGATATTCCTGATAAACAGCATGTCACAATTTCTGAAATATCAAATTGGAAAGGACAGGTATCAGTTTTTTGATTGGCACCTGGAAGCTGGCATCTGAGAATGTCCTTTATCATTTTCGTGGCAGATTCATTTCCATGGCTAAGAGATAATGTGAGTTGTCCCAAGTAACTGAGCTTGTCAAAAGGTTTTGGACACTCATCCAGTAAATTGGGATTAGTTTGTTGTGGTGATTGATATTTATTTACATTGCTAAAGTATCTACTATGGGTTAATTTTGATCTGCTGTTATAAGTCAAGGCATCCAAATGACAATTATGCAAATCATAGTTTTTCTGAATCATTGTCTTGCAAACACTGGAAACAAAATTGCTGTTCATTGACTCAGATAGTAAACATTTCTTACTATTGGTGATGGGTGTGCCTGGATTGATATCATTTGTTTGCTGGATCATATAATCTTCTGATTTTTCTTCTGATGGTTCATTTTTAAGCAGATTTAAAATACTAGTGCCAGACTTGCTAACTGTTTTCTTAATGTCTGTAAACTGTTTTCTAGAGGAGCTAGAGCTACTATTGATAAGGCTCATGCCTTCGCATTCTATAGGAATATCCTTTAGCTTTTGCTGTATGTTGTGTAGTGATAATGTAATACACTGCAATTGTTCAATGCAAGAATCCAAACCTTCAGACATTATAGCTACTATGAGTGAAAGTGGAACGTCATATTGAAGGCACTCAAGTACAGCATTGCTCCATGCACCAACAAGAAACAGCAATGTGGTCATCCCTGTTTTATAATCTTTGTTCTGTGCTTGGATGGCTTCATTAAGAAGCTGCCCCACAGCACTACTTAAATCCATGTTCTCAAGAAGTCTCAGTGGAGAGTAAATCAACATACCACCAGGGATACTTTCATCAACTATAAATTTGGACGATTTCATGGGTCCTAAAAGTGTCCGTCCAGTGGAAGCCAAAGCTGAAAGATGTTGCAGACCAATATGTCTCTTTCTGTTCACGTTTCTGAAAGCCATTTTCTCAGGACAGCTGCAAATGAAACACATATTTGTTGCTTGTGCTTTATTTGTTTTGGCTTGTATGTTACCCTTTGGACACTACTGACATGTCTCTCAGAGATAGAGCTGCACCCAGTTCAGACAGAAATTAAATTCTATATCCCATAGAAATGTGATGGTTGAGGTGGCCAAATATTCGAAGAACAAAATTCTACCTTTAGCATTAGAAATGAACCTTAATCAAGTAAATTGGGATTAGTAAGGATTTAATTGGAAAATTGGATTATCATTTCTGGAGCAATAGGAAGCAATAAAGACCAGATTATATGAAAAAAGAGCAGCACTATCTCCAGAATACTGCTATTTAAAAAAACAATTTATATATGCATAGTGTTACAATTAATTCAGGCAAATGAAAAAAAAAGCTGCTGTGATTTCTGGATTTGCTCTGACCAGACATGCAGGCAGTTTCTCTTTGTACTAAAACCAAAGTTTACCCTGGAATCTACAGTCTCTTTTTCTCCCATTCTTCTAGCAGATGAACAGAGTAAGTTTATAGAGCTTCCAAAAATTAGAATTATGCCATGGTCATATCTGTTGCATGTGCTAATAAATGCTTTGAACATATCTTTAAATTAATTAACTTCTTTATTAGCTTGAAAAGTTCTTAGATGCATGCAAAATTCAGAAGGAAGAAAAGAAATATATATAGTACAAAACTGGTTATTTCTTCTAGCAATTTTTATTGGCAACTTTCTTTGCTCATTATCTAGATTTACTGGGCTACTTATATCAGTCTTGCCTCTAAACAACTTTTTAAAACAGAAACGTCAATGCAATTGTTTATGGAACCACTGTTATCTTAATAAAAATAATGAAATTGCATTACTCTTTTTAGAACCAACAAAGCTTCTCGAGGAATATACAAGAAACTGTCAGACCTGCAAGCCATCTTTTCTTTGTGGGAAGACACATCACAGAAACAGTATTTAGGCTGTGTTCCCACAACACACTATATTGAAATGCAATCAACTAGTTTGTGGCTCAGTGTGTTGGACAAATCCATTGTGGTGACTGTATGATTCGAAGTGTTGGGTAAATAATTTCATTAAGTCAGTGAACAGGTCTAAAATTTTATGCATTATAGCATACTAGAAGATAAACTTTATATTGGAGAGAATTGAACTGGAATATAACTGGAATATAATAATTCACATAATAAAGCAGCTGTACAAGAGTATAGTCAACTGTTGCAATGGTGCAGAAGTGCCTAAATTGGAAGAGTTTATGTCAGCATTGCACAACAACTGTAAAACCTTCCCATCACCACTTGGGCTCATCCACATCATCTGCATTTCTATCCCTCCTCTTCAATCCTTTAGAAAACAATGTAATTGTTTTCAGTCCAGCAGACCATAAATGGAAAAAAACATCCTGAGATGAGCAGTACTTACTCTCCTTTCTCCCACCTGTCCAAGAGAAAATCATCCTCCACTGTCACTATCTCCTACCTGCCAATAGTCCTGCAAGAAAAAAGGCACATCTCCACTTCACACCAAAGAGAACAAATTGATAACACACCTCAATCTTGTTTTGTACATGTATTTTATTTGTATTTCACATCTTATGCTGGCAGAATAAAATCTGATGATCATTATAGGAGGAATTTCCAAAAGTTAGGATTGATTGTAAAGTATGTAAAGTACCACACTGAAATATTTCAAAGGCTTTGGCTGTCATTCCTCAGTTGCATTTCAAATTTGAATTCTGGTGATGATATATCAGCATGTTGGTAATTTTGTAACCAAGTGCTTTTCCCAACAAATCAGATTGGACCATTGCTGCATGCTGCTATGATGCTTTCTTGAGGGAAGTTCTAAATAAGGACGAGACCAGATGCTATACTCTCTGGAACAGTGTATTTCAACCTCAATAATGTTAAAACGTGTGGACTTCAATTCCCAGAATTCTCTAGCCAGGCAAAGACTTCCTACCAAGGGAAATGATATCACTAAGGTCCATAGAACCCAATGATTCACAGGAAACTCTGCTGTGATTACAAATATATTAAAGTAGAGTCACCAAAAAAGTCAACATCTCAAATCAGTCAACATGAAATCAAACAGGATGTAAAGTAGGCCCTGAAGCATTAAATATATATATTTAAAAAAGGCCCAGCAGTGCAAGGACCTTTCCCCCCACCAAGGTGAAACTGACTGATTCCTCTTTAATACAAATTGTTTCAACGTCCCCCTCCTCAAAAGGAAAGTCCTTCACAGAAAGAAAAGGAAAGCGAGCTTGCTTCCTCCTGGGCAGGTGAAGGGCTTCTGAAGCCCTTCAGAAGTAGGGAAATCTACCACTTCTTAAGACCTTGTCAGCAGCTATTCACACAGAACAGCTGGCCATCACCGTAGCCCAGGGGAAGGAAGAGGCCGAAATCTGGAAAAGGATTTCTTGAGTTGGCTTCCCTTCCTGCTCCTGGGGCAAGTAGCTGCTGGCTGCAACCTGGAAGAGCTCTTCACCCTCTTGCTCACCCAGATGAGACTAGTAGATCTGAAGAGCTGCAACACTCATTAGCTGCTTAACTGTCCTGCCCACCACTACTCCCCCCCACACACACACAGACACACACACACACACAACCTTCCCCCTGCCAACCCGAAGAGCTCAGTAAGACTCTCGGGTTAGTTGCCCATTTCTCTGTGCAGCAAGCGAGAAATCCCCAAGTAGCAGCTATTCCATCCCGTCTGCTCTGCCTTGCCGACTATCTTCCTCTGAGCCTGGGTGACAAGGGAAGGATTTGGACCGCATCCAGACCCGCTCCCAATCCTTATATTTTGTCGCCCTAGGGTAATATAGCGGGAAACTAGAGGAGGCTCGTTTTCTTCTTCCGAACCCAGTCCTCTGGGGAAGCAGATAATTTCAGTATTAAAAGTGTCACCAGAGGGAGGGGCAGCGCAGCGCCAGTGTCAATCAGCAACATCTGCCACTCCTCGGACTCCGCCCTACATGATACACCCCCCCCCCGCACCGTTCGTCCAGTAAGGTCGGGGAGGCGTTGGGCAGAATTGGGAGGGAGATTTTCCAAAGAAGCGCGCCAAATATCTCCCGCGAACTGAATCGGCT